ACAAAACCCATACATACAAGTTAGCAGTTGCAGAAAGAGAGGGGGGCAAGCTTGAGAGTTGGGAGACAGTGGCTGAAGATTGCGAACGGCGAACCCGAACTGGAACAGCGAATGATGGAAATTGAAAGATATGGGTTTTGATTTTTTAAACAATCTGAAATGATTTGCCGATATGGGTTTTGAACTTTTGATTCTTGCAAACAGATAGATAAACTAAAATATATGGGTTTTGAACTTCTGATTCTTGCAGATTTTGTAGTTTGCAGTTATGGAGAGAGAGAGAGAGTTGAGAATGAGACCAGAGATGGAGGCGATTGGGGAGGCTGAAATGATTTGCCCTAAAAATATAATCAAATATATATAAATTACCGGGAAAAAAAAAAAAAAAAAAACACTCAATACGTCAACCCGACCTGTCTAAAAATATTCGGGTTAAGTTTTGACCATATTGGGTACAATTCGGGTTGGCCCAGCCCAACCCGATTTGGGTTGATGTCGGGTTGGGACTGGGCTAGGTTGGGTCAACCTAACTTGCAACCCTACTTTTGTTTAGTGTTTTTTTATTTCGGGTTACTATTTGAATAGTATGAAATGTTTTTGAAAAAAGGCAAAAACCGAAAGCACTAAGTTGATGTTTTTTTTTACTATAGAGATAACCAATATATATATAAAAAAAAAAAACTCTTAAATTATTTTTTTAATAAATATAACATTACCAAACATGCTTCCGAATAGTATTGAACACACTCTAATCCACCTAGGGCTAGTTTGGTATGCGTGAATGAAATGGAATAGAATGGGAATGAAAGTAGGAATGGAATGGGAATGATGATTCCCATTCTCTTGTTTGGTTACAAACATGGAATGCATAAAAATGAAATGATGATTTCCATTCACGTTTGGTTTGACTAATGTAAAAACTAAAATGAAATAAATTTATATTGTTTTCTTCAAATAACCTTTATCATTAATAAAAAATTTAACTAAAAAATTAACATCTAAAGAAATTTTTTCCAAGGATAAGAAAGAGGTCTGCAAGAATGAAATTGGGGCAAGAGATAGAGAGAGAAAGTAGAGAGAAGAAAGAAACTGGGCAAGTGAATGGAGGTGTTGGAGGTTGGGTCGGGTTGTGTGTTAGAGAAGATGATGATGGCGGCAGAGAAGAAGGTTGGATTACGAAGAGGAGTATAACAGATCTCCTTCCTAAAAAAAAATCCTTCCTTTATTTATTTATTGGAATTAATTCACCCATTCCATTAATTGAATACTACCTTAAAACACACAATGATTACCATATAGGGAAAAAAAATGTTCTTGATCTATTTATATTGCAAAGTATTTTTTATACAATATTTGATGCATCGAGGAATATATATACCCCTTCATATCAAATTTGTTATACTCCTTTTCCATAATTGAATTATGGAAAGGAGTATAACAAATTTGATATGAATTATGGAAAGGAGTATAACAAATTTGATATGAAGGGGTGGATTGAAAGAGAACAAAGACGTGATGGAAGAGATGATGAACGATTTTTTTTGTCATAATTTTTTTAATCTATTCAATGTGGGAATGGAATGCTCATTCCATTGTTAAAGAGAAGGAATGAAATAATGGGAATGGTCATTTCCGATAATGCCTCTTGATTCTCTTCCCAACTTTAATTTAACCTACCAAACACGGGAAGGGAATAAAAACCATTCCCATTTTCTCTTTATTGATTTCATTCCAACACACTAAGGGCCCGTTTGGTATGCGTTTTGTTTTTGGTGTTTTGTTTTTGACTAAAACAGAAACAATGTTTTTGTTGTAGGGTGTTTTGGAACAAATTCGAAAGTACGTTTGGAAACTATACTTTGCTATAGATATGTCAAAAACAAAAACATGTAAAATATGTTTGGACACACAAATAAATAAATATATATATATATATATATATATATATATATATATATAAATTTTTGCAAGGTAATGCTAGAGCGAGGTTTGGAATAGCAGACCCCCCCCTCTCTCTCTCTCAAAAATCACTCAGCAACTCTCTCTTTTTCTCTGGGTTTGGGATAGCAAACCCCTGTAGCCAAACACTGCACAACCTCTCTTCTTCTTCTTCAACAAAAGCTGCAACTACCGGCCAGAAACAAAAGACGGCAGCCACTGAAACACCTGCGCCGATGTATGAAGCAAGAAGACGACCGGTGATGAAGCTAGGGACACAACACAGGGCGACGACAGCAAGGAAGCTCCAGCGATAGCAAAGAATGAGGTCGCGGCACGAAGAAACAGATAAAAAATTTCACGATATGGCAGACAACTCGTCAATGATGAAGACGCCAACACACAAAGAAATCTTCGGTTCGGCTACTGTACTGTCCCTCCGATTAGGATCCTCCAAATTGGGTCGCAAGAAAAAAAATACAACCCCTGAATCAAAATATCGACCCAGTTGCAGAGAGAGAGAGAGTGGGCAAGTTCAGGTCTAAGAACGAGAATAGAGATGGAGGCATTATTTATAGGTAATAATATGTTTTGATTCTTGCAGACAATGCCAATACGAAAAGAGCGACATAGTATCCTCAAAACCAAACCAACAATTAAATCATCCCCAAAACACTAAATATTGATTACAACCCTAAAACATGTAAACCACAAAAGACATCTGAAATACTAACCGATCAAAGAACATCAACATCCATTAACAAAACCTAAAAGTTGAAATAAATCTTACCAAATTTGAAAAAGATGATGAATCCGTGGTTGATTACTGAGATGTTGGTTCGTTGTCGGTTACTCGGTTGTACCCGAGTGAGACAGATCTGCAATTTTTGTGTCTACTGTGAAGTTTATATAGCTAAAACAGATTAGGCCGGCTGTTTCATCCGCTACAATTCTTCTTATTGGGCTACAGTATTAAAACAACAAAAAACACCATTTTGGTGTTTCACTTTTGGGCCACTGTTTGAAACAATGTTTTGTACTGTTTAAAACAAAACAAGTGTTACCAAACATGTTTTTGGGCCTGAAATGAAGCCCTGCAACAAAAACACCAAAGTAAAACACCAAACAAACAGGCCCTAAGCTAGCGATACATACAACACCAATATATACAACACCGCACAAACCATCTGCATCGAACAAGACTGAGCAAATTTAACACTTAACCATAACTTAACCCGTATGAGTCCCACAAAAAAATACTACGTATTTATCTAAAATTTCGAAGCCGGTGACATGATACTAATATTTATTCAGATGTTTGAACTTGAAACATGACACGGGAAAATGACCCAAACTATGGGGTTGTGTGTCCTTTTACTTTGACGGCAGCTTAGGCCCCGTTTGGGAAGTGTAGTGTGATGTAGTGTACTGCTCTAACCTAGAACAGAACAAGTGTTTTGTAGTGTGATGTTCTGAAATGAGAACAAAACATGTTTGGTGTTCCAAGTTTGCTCTACCGAATCATGGAACAAAAACATGGTAGAACATGTTTGGTAATGTATATTATTCTAAGAACAGTGAGAACAAAATATGTTTGGTGTTCCAAAGTGTAACTAAAATTAATTTGATAAATAAAATAATTAAATATGTTGGATTAAAAATGTTTTTAAATAATATTTTCTTCAACACATTTTTGCTAACTTTGTTAAGTATAAAGTTAGAAAAAATGATTGTATTATTTTAACATATTGTTCCTCCATTTATCTTAATTTATTATAAAAACCATTAAAATAAATTAAAAATTCCAAATATGGAACTGAAATAAAGTTTCAATATATCATAGTTTCATGAATTTTAATATATTACATACATGAGTATCAAAAACATTACAACATTCGTCAACAATGCCAATAAAAGTTCATGAAATAAAATTAAACTTTCAATATTACATCATTTCTCAACAGGCACAATAATAAACAACAACAACATGAGCAAAAATAACAAAAATATAGTTATAGTAAGACAACAACAACAATGTAATTTTGCCGATTTTGTTGAGCTTGCATAACAGCAACTACATCCTCCAACTCTTCCTACACATGACCACCCACTTGCAGACGTTGGTGCATGTCATCCAACCATATAATTTTTCAAACATTGTCAGCATTGTCAGCAAACATTGTCAGCATTGATATCCATCTAATTACATAGTTTTGTCCACTAATTAAGAATGACAACTTTTTTCAAGTATCAACTAAACAATTCGACTAAAAATAGACCAATAAATATATTCATATGATTTCACGTGTCATTTTTTCGATGCCTGTTAGTCACCTTTCATTCACATTGATTTGTTGGTAATATTTTACGTTTTGGAGACAAACAGCACTTAAATCTTGGAAGTTACATTATGACAGATAAGGATCGAAAGAGTTCATTAGCAAAAGGAAGTTCTTGAAAATTTGAAATGATATCATATGATAGTTGGAAAGAGAATATCTCCTTATGTAGATATACTGAAATTTCAATTCAAACCAACAATATAGATAAACAAATAGTGCTATGGCCAACATCCATATATATATATATATCAACTCTTCCTGCACACAGGATCATTGACCACAAAGATGCATCAATTTAACAAAAAAATGCACACAGTGGGTATGCCTATATATAATTAATTATATATCTATATCTATATATATGTATATATATATATATCTATGTATGTATATATGTATCTATATATATACAATGCACACAGGATCTAACAGTGTCACCGGGTTGCAATCAAAACCCTTTCCTTCAGTCCACTGTGAATTTTTTGAACATTCCACCACAAAATCCCCATTACTAAACATTTTAATTGACAGACAAATTACAAAATCAAAGCAAGTTAGAAGCTTGATATAAAAGGCTTGGCAGTTTGATGGTCCAGCGAAGCCACAGTGCACCATAAATAGAGATACAAGAGAGCATTCCTCAACAAATCAGGTAACAAGGTCTTCATAATTAATTTTTTTTTTCAAGCAAACAAAAAATTAACTCATTTGGTGTCGACGATGAAGGTAAATAGACCGAGAATCGCCTGTGAATCTGAGAGTGCAGAGAGCAGCAGTGAAGCTTGGTTCGCCGGAAAACGCAGAGGTCACAAATGGGAAGTTTATCTTCAGATCTGCATACACAGTGGAACACCGACAAGCCCGATCTTGATTATACATGTGACTAAATTTAGACAGAACTTGCAGACTCGTTTCAATGAAGAAGATGCATGTTTGGAACTCACCGGTGAGAAGAAGACGTTGTCAAGAAGCTTCATATTTACATCAATAGTGTCGATTTCAACCCAAGATCTCGGAAAGCTTCAGTACCTCCCAAGGGTACACTGTGAATCGCCTCAGTCGTAGAGAGAACCCTAGAACAAGATGGACCGAACAAGTATATTGTGTTCTCAGTGTTCCAACCGGTTGGGCTATTGTTCTCCATTCTACAGTGAAAAGTGGGCCGTGCACAATTTGGGAACACTTTGGAACATGATTTTTTTGTTCCGGAAGTTGGCCCAAAAATTGAATTTGTTCTACAACTGTTGAACACAATACAGCCCATACCAAACAACCAAGTTTGCTCAACAGTGCCCATTTGTACTGTAGGGAAGGGCACAGAACAAGATGGAACATGCCCCAAACAGGGCCTTAGAGTGTGTATACTGTATATACTTTGATGGCAGCTTAGAGTGTGTAATCCACGCTGTGCCATAGCGCGTGACTTATTATATTTTCTTTACTATTGAAATCAATATACACTACTTGGGTCACGACGCAAGAGAGCAAACCGAGAGGCGAGGGAGACCCGCCCACTCTCCCCTCTCACTTGCACACACTAAACCCTCTCTTTTCTCTCTACGTTCCCTCCTTTTCTCCTCAATTCCCCCTCATTTTCTAGGGTCTATCTTCTACTTCTGTTGTATAGCAACAAAGATCAGTTCGACATGTCCGATCTCGGCGCCCTCCCTCCTCACCGACACCGACGGTAATCCTGAGCCTAAAATTCCATATCTCTTATATATATATATATATATATATATATAATAGTGTGTAAAGTTATAATCTTTTGCTGTTTAATCTTGTCCATAGCTCTCAGTGCGGAGGATCGTGATGGTCTAGTTAATGCCCTAAAAGTGAGTTACTTTCATTATCTATCAGTGTTTTTTTTTCAGTCTATCTGATTGACGATATAGATTTTAGGGCTCTATTTTGTTTTGCCCTTTTTTGTGTTCTACTTGGGGCTTTTTTAGAATAAGCTTCAGAATCTGGCTGGGCATCACTCGGATGTTCTCGAGAGTCTGACACCTAAGGTCCGGAAGCGCGTTGAGGTTCTAAGAGAGCTTCAGGTTTGCTTTCGTATCAGTTCATATAATTACGTGAAATGATTATTCTATTACAATTATGATGTTTAGTTCTGTATTTACTTATATAAGTATAGTTTTTCATTTCATTTCTTGTGGGTTGCATAAAGTGATGTATGTAACAAGGAATCGGTTAACGTGGGTTTACTTTTGTGTGCTCTAGATTCATATATATTCTTTCCCCTATTCATACAGTGATTTGCAATATTAGGAAGTGGAAAATCACCTAGTAAATGTGTGTCTACTTGGTGCAATTTCCACTCATTTCTGTCTTTCAAAACTTTGTTACTTAAAATGTCAGTTGGATGCTTAAAAGAATGGGACTTATGGTACAGTTTTGATACTTCACTTGATATCCGCCTATGCGTTTGTGCATTAATAGCGTCATGCTAGATTTGCATTTTCATTTTGGCTGCTTGTTTGGGAAGTCCATATTGTTGAAGATTATCTGGTGACATATCAAGGTGCTTCCTTCAACACATTCAGATAATCAGATTCCTTCATAGATTTGTTTTTGGCAATCTTTTCTATCATGTTTAGCGCTGTAAATGAGCCGAGCGGAGCTTTGGAGTGTTTGGGCTCGGCTCAGGTCAGACAAAGTGATGCTTGAGCCTTGGCTGGCCATGATTGAGCTCAGCTCGTCTACGCTGGAACAAGGTCGAGCTCGGCTGCTTGTTTTTTTATTTGGCTAGTTTTTTTTTTTTTTTGGCTGCAAAGGCTGCTCGTTATATATACTTTATATATAAATATGTGTGTGTGTGTGTGTGTATGCACCGATCTTAACTTCATAGTTCATACCGATCTTTGTTTCATCTTCAACCTTTCACACTCCCTATTTAATAAGAGAACAGAAGAGAGAGACCAGTAGAGAGGGAAATGCGAGTAGATGAGAGAGAGACCAGTTGAGACTTGAGAAAGAGAGACACTGCTACATGAGAGAGATGATGCTTTGGCTTGGGGATTTTTCAGTTACTTTGATCGTCAGCTGCTTGGGTCTTTTTCCGTTACTGTAATTGCCGGCTGCTTTGGGCTGTTGCTGCTGTGATCATAGGGTACTTTCGGGAGGCTGTGGTTGGACGAGGTTTTTACTTTTTAGGGTGCAAACTTCATTGTGATTATTCCATTAGGAATTTAGGGTTGAGATGATATGTTTATATAGATGGGCTTCAGACATGGGCTTATTTATAGACTTTTTGATTTGTTTGGGCTTAATGTATTTTATTTTTTACATGGTTGGTTACATGTATATGGATTGGGTTTGGATTGGCTAAAACTGTTCAGTTAAAAAGAAAATGTGGAACCCCAAACTTATAAATTAAAAAGAAAAAAGGTATTAGGATGTTGTTAAGGTTAAAGTTAATTTTAACTAAACTAGGTCTTGTAAATAAGTTGAGTACATGTTCATAATTTCATATATCTATATCTCCGTGTTCATGAGCTCATTAATGAGCTTTGTTCACAAACAGTTCACGAACTAACGAGCTGAGCTTGGGGTTGTTTGAGATTGCCCCGTTTACTAATTGAGCTTGGAAATCTTGTTTGAGCTTGGTTCATTTATCAAATAAATGAACACGAGCCGAGCTCGAGCTGTTCATCGAACGTTTGGTTCATTTACAGCCCTAATCATGTTAATTTGTTGAGAAAGTCTTGGTGGGTTTTTGTCTAAATAAAATGGTGTAAGACTACTAGAAGGAGTAGAGTAGAGAGAAGAAAAACACAAGCTTTAAGTATTGGAATGATTTTAATTACCCGGTGGAAGTGCTTTGTAATATAGAAATTCCAGGTGTAAAATTGTGAGTTTTTGTGATCATTGTATTTGTTCTCTCTTAATTACCATTGTACTTTATATTTGCTTTAACATTAGTATTAGTTGTTTGTGTTTGCTGTTATATTAGTTGTTATTCGTATTAATCTGCTTATTAATCTTGTATTATTAGTACTACTATAAATATTTATTAGGTTATTAGTTATAGATTGGCAAGTGTGGTCCTGTATTAGTAGTGTTATCACATTCTTGAAGATAATTTAATGACAAATTGAGGCACTTCCCTCGACACATTCAGATTTCCCGATTGATGTTTTTGGTGGGAAACCTTTTTCTAGCTTGTTAATTTGTTGAGCAATCGTTGGTTGGATACTGTGGTCAATATTGTCGATTGTGATGGTACTTCCGACATAATGCAAGTTGGAAGTATTTTTCGAGAAAACCTTCCGTGAATTGTTGAATATAGGAACCTTTTATCAGTAGTATGATCTAATTACTTAATTAATGGTAGGTAAACTTCATCCTCAATTGGATATGGAAGTTCATTTTCCTGTTTGGCCTCCTAGCCTTCCAATGAAATTGCTATCAAGTATTGGAATGACTTTAATGGAGCGAGCAAGGGGAACACTTGGATCAAGCTTCAATATTTGGGTGGGTCAGCCTGTGTAGTTCATGAGCGGTTTTAGGTTAAATTAAATATATTTCCAGGGTTTCAGGTTTTCTGTTATCCTGCATGAGGTAAGAACTCAAAACAAGTTTCATAGTCAGGTAATCAAAGTTACAACATTGCTGCTACTTTGGTGTATTCAGGGAAAACTTTTCTGCAAGCTTTGCACTTGATTGCATAATCATTAATATGTTGACTTTTCTCTGAGGACTTGTGATTAAACCATTAATATAAGAGCTTTAGGGAGGCAAATCATATGATCTGAATCAAGAATATGAAGGGAACTTATTAAAAGACATCAGCTTTTCCTTCAATTACCTTTTGGTTGTTAGGGGGTCCTATATTAGGATTTTCAGACTATAAAAGTAAAATAAGGTCCGCTAGGTTGCTCAATTAATTAGAGGGGCTTTACAAGGATAGAGGTTTCTCTAAATTGGTGACTTGCCATAAAATATTCAAAACCTGCATGCAACTTACCATATTAATTTAAGCATCCTTTTTTTTTTTCGAGTTCATCTCATTTCATAGCATGTAATTGTGTCCAGATTAGAGAGGACCTTAACGTGATAAATATTAAACGGTCTAGAATCATCTGTTATTTGGTGGTCCACTCCAATTAAAATATGGTGTATTTAAGCTTTTGTTTGGGATTATAAGCTGCATTTTTTAGATGTGTGTATCATTATTTAGTGAGGTTCTTTAACAATACATGAAGAACATTGCATGTGAATCAAATTAGGCTCACAGACATGATTGAGGACTGGATTTAAAAAATTTAAATTTAAATGAAACAATAGAATTTAATGCCACTCTAAATCTATCTTAATAATGGCAAGTTTTTAAAAAGGCAACTTATTGCTTCTTGGCAATGGTTTCTCAAACAGGTCTGAATCAAATGCTTGGTAAGACAGATTATATATGGAAGTGAAAAAATACTTATCAAAAAAATTTATACGGAAGTGAAAATTGTGTTACCAGTGTTGGAACAAGAAAAGACAAAATAAACAAATTGACAAAATTGCCAACAATTTACCACATATATAGAAAAGTACTCTTTTTATTTAATATTATTTTCAAACATGGCAGAGAACATTAATAACGAATTTGACATTGCAACCTTTCATCCACCATTCTCACATTTTAGCCCTTTAAGGACGTTTGAAGAAGGATAATCCTGTCATAAGGCTTTTGCACCAGCCTAATGTATGCAATCTGTGCCTCTTGGCTGAAGAAACACAATCCTTTTCTCATTCTCAACTCACACGAATGTCTCCACCACACCTACTCTGGAATCTCACTCCTATCTATTTCATCTGCAGCTGGTTGTTGTTAACATACCCATACACAGATCAACGGGATCAATGATGATGAAGAAGGGACCAACATACCCATACACAGATCAACGGTTGTCATTGATTGATTGCTATCTCTGAGTTTTGGAAGGATGATGATCAAACAAATCAAGGGTTGGCAAACCTGCAATGTGATGGTATTATCAAATCAAAACCATTTATTTAAGAAATAGGAGAGGAACCCAACACCAGTCTTCACCTTTCCTTTCAGTTTTTTTGCTACCTATGAAGGAAGACTTGTTTCTCTCTTCCACTCCTTTTCTCAATCATAGATTGGATGAGAGTCAAGACAACCAGCAAATTGATTTGTATTTTCCACTACCATGTCAATTATTTTTATTATTATATTATAATTCTATCATCGACTTATTATGGTTTTAATTTGTCTATGAAAGTTGGTGGTGCTAGTCTCGTTGAATATTTCGAAACACTACAATTGAACACATTTCTTCGTCTCACATGCACCAAATAATGTCCGTTTGAAAATAACTTTAAATGATTTAAAATTTCCGATTTTCAAGCTATTAAGTAAAAATCTTTGTCATTAGTCTATTCTCTTAAAAGTTAATTTATACTTCCTCATTAGTCTATGTCAATTATTATGAAAAGTTTTATTTATTATATTATAAATCTAGCATGGTCCTATTATGGTTTCAAACCAAATTCTTGCACTTGACGGTACGAGTCTTTTCTTACCATGCTAAGCAATGATGCATTTATTAATTTCAAACGTATCATCTTAAAAATGTTTAGTTACATAAGGACAAGTTTTTGAAAGTCCATGAAAACAATAATGGCTTAAAGTAATTCTTCAATTCTAAACAAAGAATGAAAAAATCCTTTTAATATATATTTATTTATGTTAATTTAATTTTCAAAGAAAAAATTGATTATTGTTGATATATGACAAATAGCTAATTTAATAAAATAATTATATTATAGAAGTAAAATAATTCATTGTAGATGGCTAACTACAATGTAAAAATTATGTTAAAAAAGAATTCAACTATGGATTTTTTTTTTTTCCCTTTTTTTTTGGGTGAATGAACAACAAATCAACTATAGCTTTTTTTGGTTCAAAATGAACTTTAATGCACATCAAAGTGATGAGATTGACCAAAACCAATGGTTGTCTCAGAATATTTTTTAATGAGTTTTCCCAATAGCTTAATCAACAAAAATCTCATGGACAGGAAGAGTCAATGATTCTAACAACACACACAAATATATACGCATCAGGATAACAATAGCTTAATCAACAAAAGATTGCAGAATTCAAGAACAAAGATTGAAATTAGATAATGCACATTTGGATGTCTGGATGAAATAAATGTGTACTTCTAATACATATTGAAGGGAAGATATATATATATATATATATGAAGTAGAATCCCACTTGCTTCAGATTTTAAATTTCAAACCCTGCTCCACAATCTTTTTTTAACTGTGATCCAGGATCAAAAAAATTGCTTACTGCAATCATCTATACTTCATCTGATACATGTAAATAGTCCTAAAACAGAGTGAAAGATGGTTGTGTGCATCCATTATTGGTTGACATGTTCCTCCTTCAAAAAGATGAAGAAATTCAAAGTAGGCCACGTGATCAATCAAGTCAAGATCACACAGTACAACTCCTTTGAAACATACAACTCAAAATTTTCACAAGCAAAACATACAACACAATTCCTCCTTCAAATACAATCGCCCTCCTAGAGCACCCATAAATGATAGAACCACACCACATCCACGACTTACACACCATATTTACAACAATACAGATGGTCTGAAAATTATTCACCTTAGGAGATGGAACTGCATAGGTTGATAACGCGGCAGATCTCTAGGGTTTTTGATGCCTAAGAAGTGCAAGCCTCATTTCCAATCTATGACATATAGACAATTATCTCCACAATTTTGAACCATGAAGAATTGGCTAGAGCTAAGCAAGGAATTTGTTTGGCCCTTAGTTTAATCTTCTGGACTGCCTTGGTGTGATCCAAAGTCCATGGGGAAGGAGATTTCCTTAACCTGGTGTACAAAATTGCTGTATCCTGTGCAAGATTTTTGTAGTGGCTGCGAATATAATTCAAGCTACCCAGAAATCTTTGAAGTTGAGTTTTATCCTTGATTTCATCTGGAAATTTAGAGGCAAACTCAATACTGCGATCAATAGGTCTAATTTTCCCATCACAAATTTCATGACCAAGAAATCTGACCTTAGTTAAAAACAATTTTATAATGCTGATCTATTGATTTTGAGAATATGAGAATATCATCAATATAAACAATAGAAAATTCAGTAAAAGGATTAAATATGTCATTCAAAATATGTTGAAATTCTGAAGGAGCATTTTTTAACCCAAATGGCATCACTGTCCATTCATACTGTCCGAAAGGTACACAAAAAGCTGTTTTGTACCTATCTTCTTTGGTGATTTGTACCTGATAATATCCAGATTTAAGATCAAATTTAGAAAAGATCACAGCAGATTGTAACCTATCTAAAAGATCTTTGATGTTGGGAATTGGGTATCTGATCCAACTTAAAGTAAGATTAAGTGGTCGATAATCAATAACCAATCGAGGAATTCCTCGTTCCTTTTCAGCATTTTTATTGACATAAAAAGCTCTGCAACTCCAGGGGGAGTAGCTAGTAGTGACAAGCTTTTTAGTCATTAAAGAGCTGATTTCAGTCTTACATAATTCCAAGTAGTCAGCTTTCATGTGGCTGGGACTAGCTTTAGAAGGAATCATGCTATCGGTAAACCCCTTTACATAGGGTAAAGAAACAATATGCTTCTTTCGGGCCCAAAAAGCATTAGGAATCTCACTACAGATTTCCTTTAGAAAGTGTTGCCGTAGTGACTCAATTTTCTGCTGCTCTTTGGGTTGTACCAATCTTTGATTAATTGCTAAGGAGGATACCTCCTGTTGCAAATAATTCAATTGCTTTTCCTTAAAGATAATGTTATCTTTAAGGGCATTGATATGCTTATTTACTGGTGGGGTCAAGAACTGAAAAGTTATTGACTGACCATGTAAAGTAGAGCATATTCCATGAGAATCAATTTTCTCAATTGGCATAATCAAAGCTAAAAAGGGAGTGCCCAAAATAACCTGTTGTGCCAAGTTTCTGATGAGTAAGAAAGTAGATGGGAGACAAATACCTTCTTTACAAATGAAAACATGATTAAGTTTATACTTAATCTGCATCTTACCTCCACTTGCACTGGTAAGACCTTGAGTGGTTTTCTCAAAATATTGAGTAGGAACCAATCCTTCCTGGATGCAGTTCATGTCTGCACCACTATCAACTAAAGCAATTGCATTAGTGAGTGTGTACTCCTGATTAATTACCAAATTGATATTAATATACCATTTTTGGTAAGTAACTTGATTCAAGAGTTGAAGATAATTAGTACCTTCTGATGGAAGAACTTCATCATTGGATGATGAAGATGGGATTGCAGATTTTGCTTTTAAAAGAGTAATTTCCAAATCCATCGTAGTCTGCCTAGACTTCAATTGACGAATTTCTTCTTTTAAAAGATTAATCTCCATTTTAAGATCAGGGAGATTAGCAGGACGAGAATTTTGTCCTTGGTGTTCTAATCTGCGTAGAACTTCTTTCATACTGTAATGATTTTCTGCTCTCAGAAAATCTGGATTATCTGTATCCTCTGTAGATCTTGCCAAAGCAGAACCTATTTCCAAGACTTTCATCTTGATTTGAGGATCCTGGATATGATCTATAAGATCCAATAAGGATTGTTGAGTTGAAGTCAAAACATTTAAGCTTAACCCATTCATCTCAACAATTGCCTTGTAGTAATCATCATGAGAAGGATTACAGGAACATCTAGGGTTTTCAATCTCTGCTTCAGAGGAAGAAGAAGATTGTAATTCCATGACAACATCTCCGTAATCACTTGATGATTCTGGTTCAGAAGAACTAGTATTAAGTAACAATTTACTTAATTGAAGTCTCAGTTCCTCTTCTATGTGAAGACTACTGAGCTTCTCCTTAGTTCTACACTTGTTTGCATAGTGGCCAATGCGTCCACATTTGAAACATTTAGCCTCAGCCTTGGGCTTTCCTTTACCCTTTGCTTTAGGAGTATATCTCCTTTTAGGCTTAGTATACTGTCTAGAATTATCCTTTTCCTTTGAATAATTCTTTCTTTTGGAATACTTCCTTTTATAAGGTTTCTCAACCTTATTTCTTTTCCTAGGTTTAGGATAAGATAAGGGAGTCTGATAGGCAAATTGATCACAAAATTCACCTACTTCCTTTCGACCAGTTAGTCTTTGGGATTTTAACTGGGATTGTAACTTCAGATCATTACAGAGAGCTAGACCTTCTTGGATTACAATATTAACTAATCCACCATAGGTATAGTTTCTGTAAGGGATAGAGATACCATTAACACATTAAAATAAACCTCCAAATAAAATACTAATTGTAATAGATAGCAACAACAACTATCACCTTGTCCACTATTTTATTTTAGGGTGTCCCAAATTAATTGTCCCATTTGACAAGTCATAGCAAAGAAAGTATTATTTTTTCATAATTACCCTTTGAGTTTTCAAATATCTCCCAACTTGGTAATATACACCTTTAAACTTAAAAGGACAACATGATAATTTTGAAGGGGGACAATGCATTAATTAGGTGTAAACACAATTTTCTTATTATGTTTAGGAACCTCTAAAATTATCTTCAGAAAAAGTTGTAATCGTCAAAAGAGAAATAAGACAAAATCGACATCGATGGGAAAGTAAGTTGTAGTTTAGAATGATGTTGTAGAAAGTACCTGAAAATGACAACGAAATCGTCCTCAATTATCAAAATTATTCACCTGCAAAAAGAGTAGAATCATGTTCATAGGCAGCCCTTGATTCCATAAATTGTCCACTAATGATAATATAGTTTAGTCTTAATCTTAATTAATGTGACACGCATATACCGGAATCCTACTTCATGTACAATTGCCACTGAACTCTTTGCAGCACTCCTTGGCAATGAGTGTGAATTAATTATTCTAGTCTCTTCTCATAAAAAATGATGTGTAACGTGTCTTGTTTATTCACTTGCCCGAGAAAAAAAGTGTCTTACTTATTCATAATCAACTTTATTTATTTGTTTACATCAATTGTTCAGAAACAAACTCTTAGTTTCCTTTAATTAGCTAGTCATCATACAAATTGAATTTCAACTTCGCCACTGATTACTAAATATCGTATAACTTCTAGTCATCATAAGCTTCAGCCTTTGTAGAATATCACAATTCAAAAGTAAGAGCTAGTCACAGAAGTATGAGGCTAAACTATGTAGGATTCACTTGGCACCATTGTAGAATTTGAATTTACCTGTCTACCAGAATTTTGCATTTGGTGCAGAAGTATGGCCATTTGTTGCTGTAAGTTTTGAATTTTATGCACTTGGCCTACATACGACATGGTCTGTTCAACACCTTCCAACCATGCAAGTACAACACGCACTGGTTCCTCGGATTGGATGGCCCTCCTCATCAGCTCCACTTAAGTGAGAGGAGGTCCCAAACCACACATTCAAACACAACCCCTTCTCTCCTCTCCCATCACTTGAGCGTACAAATCATTAGGGGAAGGGCCAGCAATGGAGCTCGAGGAAGCTGCTGGTTGACTTGCTTCAAGTTTCTTTTAGACATGCCTGCATATACAAAAAGTTACATTCAACAATAGAAATAACCGATTTGGAACTGTTACGCCTAAAAATAGAGATAAATTTGAGAAATTTCATACAGAATTAAGTGAAAAAATTGCTATGACAATCAATTAAGCTTAGACCTATAACCTTAGCATGCAGAACATCATCATCAAAGTCCTCTATTATTTTATTTATGAAAAGGAAAGTTATATCTACCCATGTAGATTTATTTTTTATTTTTCCTAAACTATGTAAATTTCACTTGGCACCATTGTAGAATTTGAATTTACCTGTTTACCAGAATTTTGCATTTCATGCAGAAGTATGGCCATTGTTGCTGTAAGTTTTGAATTGCATTTCGTGCATTGCTCATTGTTCCAGTTGTATGAGGCATATTTTGCTTTGCATGATTTTCTCGATTTCTTGTACTGCAGCTCTTCAAAAAAAGAAAAAGAACTGTCAGAATTAGTATAATACAAAATCGATCATTTACATCATTAGAAACATAAGTATTACCCTAAGGATTACCTCCCCCTCCTCTAAAATCCAATACTTGACTATTGGTCCTTGTCAACCAGAGAAGAAGGTACATTAGCATCTTTCTTCATCAGAATCTGTAATGACCCTGATTTTTTCAGATAAATTTTTTCTGTTCTCTTTTCCCTTCTGAGTTTGGTTTCTTGTCGATTAGTGTCGTCTCGAGTGCTCTGGAGTGATTTTCGAGACTATTTTCTGTGAATTGACAACTTCCTTTGAGGACCGAGTCATTCCCACATTTTTCGTTTTTCGACACTATTTACTTTTTGTCTTTTTCCCTATTCCGTCTTTCCTCATTTGTCACTCTGTTTGCGTAACCACACTTCTTGTGTTCGGAGTTGGTTTCTGATTTCACGTTTCTTTATTCCCAATGATTTTTATGAGATACGTATCTTTACTTTAGTGAGAAAGTACTATGGTTGCTCCCAGTGTCCATAGAGGCATAAATGTAAAGTTCTTTGCAAACTTTTTCTTTTCTTGGGGTGTTTTTCATAAATATCTTTTAAAGATATTTTATTTCAGGGGTATCTAAGAAAATATCTTTTGGAAGATATTTTCATTCTGGGGCAGTTTCGCAGTTTTCACTTTTTGGAGGAGTCATTGTGCAATTAATGAAAGTTATTGTTCAATGCCTTGTTTTGAGCCTGGATTCTCGTATGGGATTCATTTTCACATTTCGTCGAGTCGTGGACTCTTAAAATTTCCTCCTGGACGATATTTTTCAGTTTCAGGGTTTCTGGCCCTAGTTTGCGCCAAACTTGTTTTGGGTATAACTCTCTGCTCGGGATTCGGTTTTTGACGTCATTTCTTCCGTTGTTCATATTTTCTCATTTGGAATCTTTTTTCGTTCACAGAATTTTGCCCTTTGAGCGCATCTGCTCAGATTTCACTTTTCCGGATCCGGTGGGGCCCGTTCGGGACACTTTTTGAGTTTTTCTATAAATAGTGGGCCTTTAAGTGAAAAATCAGATTTTTGCTCTCTCTCCTCTCTCTTGGCCGGATCTAGAGGCAGCCATGGCTGCCATCTTCTCTATCTTCTTTTGAGCTTCTTCCCTTCAATGAAATACCTTAATGCCTTAGTGTTTATTGTTCCCCTCGGCGAGGCCTTCGATTCCAACCGATTGGAATCTCGTTTTGGCCATTTCTTGAGTTCGAGTTTGAAGTCAAGTTGTGTTTTTGATGGGGCTTCCTTGAGATTCATGTTCGTGGTGTTGTCCCCGACAAAACCTAAGAGTTTCGTCGGATTCGGAGCCAATTTATTTTGGTGGGGAAATGGAGGTAGGGAATGTTTTAGGCTTTTGTGTGTGTTGTATTGAGTATTTAGCATGATTATACAACTTATATATGTGTCTTGTATCAAATCTAGAAAGTTAGTAATTTTTAATTCTTTGTATAAGATTTAAAATTCATGATGATATATAACTTTGATTTGAATTGTGGCATGGTAGAAAATCTTGTTTTAATATATTGGTCAACATATATTAAATTTGGATTAATTAAATAAGAATTGCTCTTTTTAATTAATATTTATCTTTTGTGAAAGATTAAAGTTCATGGTCGTACCTTGCATGAAATTGAGTTGTATTATACTTCTAAATTAAGTTTTGGCATATTTGTTAACATGCTTTAATTTGAGAGCATTTTGTTGAGTTTGAAAATTTAGAGACTTTAATTAAGAGAATTAATTAAAATCTAATTTTATGGTTTCATGGGCCTAATTAAGCTTTTGTGGGAATATATGTAATGACAATGATATGTCTATTAGCATATATTAAATTGGGGCCAATTGGAAATGATTTGAAATCTAGAGAGTTTAATTATTTTGATGTAATTAGATTCTATCTTATTTATCCATGGATTTAATCATGTTTTAGAAGGTGCTTCTATTTTAAGATCATGGATTTAGACTTGTGAAGTATTCACTTGATCGTGTTATATGCATTGAAGGGCATTGTTGTTAAATTTATATTCATGAGAGTATGTTTCTATATGAATATATTGTTGGCTTGTGATTTCGTAGCATTACGGATATGAAATGTTTATTATGCACAATTGAGAGTTATATTGCTAACTTGTTACTATGTAGTAGTAATATGTATAAGTTATGAACTTATGTGGCTTATTTTGGAATCTTGGAACATTGTTGACTTGAGATGGCTAGGGTTTGGCTCTAGTACGGGGACGTGAGTCCTCTAAGTCATTGAGATAGTGCGCACTTAGGGTGGTCTTCCCTACAAGTTAGTGCCCGGAATAACCATTGAGGTCTCGGCAGAATTCCGAGCGTGATGTCCAAGTCTCCCACTATTTGTTTTCGCATTCAATTCCAAGTTAACAATCATGTTTAAGTTGTTGACTTGTGGTTTTGGCTATTGGCGATTTTGATGTTGTTAAGTACATCCATACTAAATTGACATATTTAGTTGATTTCACACTTTTAGATTTCTAGTTGATAACCTAGAGAATCTATGTCTTGATGTATGGTATTAGATATTCTAATTATGCTAAATTGTTATATTTAGTTGATGTTGCATTTTATACTTCAAGTTGATAACCTTGAGAATCTATATGTTATTGCTTTGTGTAAGCATGCTTCTATGTTGTTACTTTGTGTAAGTATGACCCTATGTTGCTAAAATTGCATGAATAAGGTGATTGATACTAGAAATGATCTTAGGTAACTAGGATGCTCCTTGCGTCTCACCTTTGACATAAACGTTAGGTGGAATGAACCACAATGATTAAATCATGCAAACTTGTAAAACGTAGGTCGATACATGCTCATTTCCTACGAGTAGGTTTATGTTACTCACCCCTACAATACTGGGGCATATTTCAGGTACAAGAATTAAAGTTAAGACTTCCATTATGCTTGGATGGCTTGTAGACTTGAAGACTTCCATTTTTGTGAAGGTTGGCTCGGAATGCCAATTGTAGTCTTAATTGTCAAATGTGTATATTTGATTCGAAACTTGTAATGTGTGCCTAAGCACACTTTTGATTCTCATTTTATTTATATGACATGAGGCCAAGGGCCAAACTTCTTTTAGAATCACATTTATGTCATGGATGTTGATTTTTGCCCTTAATGAGATTATATGAAATTCATGCGTTTTAGTATGCTATTTTGCACCGGAGCGTGTATTGCGTATGAAATTCATTATCTAGAATTCATTTAACATGTTTGAGGTGTGGCCAAAGGCCAAACGGTATTTTGAAGTCATTTCATAGTTTTGAATTCCAAGTTTTCATTCTAAATTACATTTTTGGCATTTTGGCAGTTGGGGGGGTCATATTTTGCATCGGCCATATTTTTGGGCCATGAACCATTGTGGCACATCTTACTAGGTATGTTACGTTTGCGTGCATGGTCGTTTCCGGACAAAGCTTCTTCTTTACACTTTTGTTGCATAATCTGAACTAAAGGGATTTTGGAAATTTTCTTTGGGAAATAAATTTCGTTCTTTACATGATCACTTAGAAAATGTGATTTTAGGGAGGGTTTCTTCTTCGTATTTTTCCAGAAAATGTCGTCTTGACATCTGAAATCGATCCCGAAGTTCAGCTTCTGTTTTTCCATTTAGCAGTTTTTTGGACCCTCTGGACCAGTTTTCTTGGGAGGGCATTTTAGGCATTTCACTGTGCGTATTTTTCAATTTTTCTCACAATTCACATAGAAAACTTGATTTTGAGAGGGGTTTCTTCTTTGTGTTTTTCCAGAAAATGTCATCTAGGCCCTCAAATTTTCATTTTTTCGGGAAAAACCCCGGCTGCCAGGTTTTTAGGTTGCACTTTACTGCCCGCTTCACATGTAACCGGTTAGGAAGGGTTTGGTAACCAGTTAGATGGCTTGGGGCAGTGTCTTGGTCATGTTTCTTGGTCTCCTAACCGGTTAGATGTTCATGGGTTGCCTCTTTTGGATCGTTTTGCCCCTTCTTCTTCCGTTAGCCATATCTTCTTCATCTAGACTCCGAATCAACTGATTTTTGAGTCTAAGTTCATTAATTTTTCGTTGTCTTTCCAATGGTGTGCTCGGTGGCACCCACTTTTAAGCTGAAAATGACATTTTTGCCCCTAGGTTGATTCTTGTCTGTTTTTGAAACCTTGCTTCCACTTTTGTTTCCTTTGGGTTCCGTGACCTCGTTGAGGGTCATAATGGTGTCATAGAGCCATGTTGTATCTCTAGAGACCGTTGTTTTGTCTTTTGCTTCAGCATTTCGGATCCGTTTTCGAGTCATCTTTCGGTTCATCACTGACGTACCGGGTTGAAAAACTTGGGCCGTCACAGAATCCCTCTTCAGATCGGACTTGAAATGCTTCCATTTTTCCCCAATTAACATCATAGTCCACTTTGTTGGTATGCCCCTCATAACAAATTTTCCTTGCTAATATAGGCAAAAACAAAATCTATAAGCTAAGCAGAACTGACTTATATACACTGCTGCAAATTTTTCCTTCAATTATAGTACTCGTTTCACCTTTTATTTTCTATATAATCATCAAAAACCAATCACTTCTTAACTGAAAACTAAATTTTCTTATTATGTTTACCGACCACTAAAATTCTCTCATCAAATTTTAGAGGATAAGACAAAAATCACATTCATAGAAGAATAACAAGAAGAAAAAAGAAATTGTGGCACCGAGTGAAGCTGAAGAAAATACCTCAAAATGGACAATGTAAACTTTTCTCATGTCTTCAACAAAGGATTGGAAACTGGATTATTGAGAATACTCTTTCAATTTGCCTGTTGTGCGAAAGGAACTTTTAACATCACCATGGAATGACAATTTGATGCTCACATCTTTGGCTGGTTATCTCCTGTAGTAGAAAGTAATATAATCATTCAAATAAAAACCATATGGAAAAGAGCAAAATGATGTTCACAGCCAGCCCATGCTCCCATAAATCCTCCAACGACAATAGACTCTAACTCTGTCAAGAATAATTTCTTAAGAAGATGCAAAATTCAATTATAATTGTTCAATATGGAGCTCCTTAAGAAAATGCAAAATTCAATTCTTATTCTTACAAAATTTGTGACACAGGAGATTCATATTCACAATTTGCCCAACAAGCTGTTGAAATGGGACACGGAAAAGTTATTCATATACATAAATGTAAAATTGTGGACTATTTTGCTGTTATAGAGAGAACCAAATCAAATCTTCAAAGGGAATATACTAAAATGGGGTAGGAAAAATGCATTTTAATAAAGTCAAAAATTTTAATTCCAGAAAATTAATTGGGTGAACCAACAACTACCCTTAATATATGTATCATTAATGTATAATTGATGCACATGGAGAGAACAGTAAATTGCATGTGTGATGTGGTGATAAGCGATTAAAATGAGAGGCATGAGATAGAGACTGTAGAACATGAGCGTACCTGACAGAAGAAAATAGAACGAATCTTTAGAATAAGTAGCGGTGGTAGAACGAATTGGCGTGAATTCCAGCGTAGGGGATGTGGGCAATGTTGTGCCAGTAATCACCTTTATTTTACTGGCACCGTTTTTCAAGAAGTGGACATTCTTTCATTTCTAAACATTGAAGCGTGGAGGAAGGCAAACATTCCTTTGGTAAGGATTGAAGCTTAGGGCATTTATAAATCCGTAGACCTTGAAGAGAGGTGAGACCCTTGGATGATGATGATGATATGGATTTCAGATTCGGGCAGTCTTGGATCCTTAGATGTTGAAGAGAGGTGAGATTTTGGAGGCCCTTCAATGATATGAATTTAAGACTCGGCAGATCTCTGATGCGTAAATTGGTTAGAGTTGTAGGAAATAGACCGTCATCAAGAGGAAAAGAGACCAGGTCTGGATATCCACCTGCAATGTCGAATAGTTAAAGAAAGGTGAGTCTATGCAGACCCCACTCTGACAAGGGCTTTAGTACTTTCCCGCAAGTATGAATAATAAGATAAATTAGGTTGGGGGGCAAATTCCCATCCCCATTGCCTTGAGTAAAGGACTCAAGACATGGACAATTATATATTTTTATGAATTCAAGTGATGCGAGGCTTTGAATCTGATCAATTGGCAACCACCTCAGATTATTGCAGCCGCTGATCGAAAGCCTTCTCAAGTTGGGGGTGGACAAGCAGCAGCCTCTTTCCGGAAAGGCCTCGAGACTTGGACATTCCCATATTACAAGGGATTCAAGGTTTTGAAGAATCTGGTTGGTAGTAGGCAAGGATCTCAGATTCACGCAACTCCAGACTTCAAGTGATCTGAGGTTGGGTAACCCTCTTTCTGGGAGCGACAAGGACTCCACACCATTGCAATTCCAGACATGAAGTGATCTGAGGTTGGGTAAGCCTTTTTCTGGGAACGATAAGGACTCCACACCATCACAATTCCAGACTTCGAGTGATCTGAGACTAGTAAAATTGCTATTATTTACGCAACCCCAACGAACATTCCAACCTTTGCCCAATTCCAGATGCGTAATGTTTCAAGAGATGACATAATAATATTTATGTTGAAGTCCTCCTCCTGTTGCTGCTGCTGTAGCATAGTCGTCTCTGAAACCCAGTACTCTAAATTCATGCAATTATCAATACAAAGATGCTTAAGAGTGGTAAGTAACATATTTTCAGTGGGCCAGGACCTCAATGATCCACAATTACCGATGTCCAAGTGTTCAACACCAGAGATGCCTTCAGGGAGGGACTTCAACGCATTGCAATTGTCTATCTCCAAAGACGTTAGCTTATTCAGCTCATTTGCCAACTTCTCATTTTCCCACAAAGCCACCAGTTGGTTGCATTCTCTGAACACGAGACTTTTAAGTGCCACCAAAGATTGCACCAATACTTCCTCAAGCTAAGATAGCCCTCTAATATTCACAACTTCCAAGCTAGTTAGTGAGGTTACACCAACTATACTTTTTAGGACCGCTTCTTCACACTCTTCCAAGTATAATTTTTCAAGAGACGGAAGCCTTAAAGAGGGAACCCTAACCAAATTGGGACAACCATGCATACTAAGCTCACGGAGGCGAGGGAATTGAATTTCATCTTCTTCAACACCCATGCAAATAGAAGAAGACCATTTTTCCCATGCCGGCATGTCCTTAAATATCAGTGTCTCAAGTGATGGAAAAGGAAGTCCATCCCCCAAATTTTGTACTTCAAGCATGCCTTCAATGTATAACTCTTGTAGCTTGGGTAGTTGCTCGAGTGGTGGTAAAGATCTGCATTTTCTACACCCAACAAGACTTAGGTTCATCATTTCAGAAAAGGATGGTTTGCCTATCCATCTTGGAAATTTCGTGCCCGCATAGAACTTAACTTTCAGCTTTTTCAAGTTTATGTGAGGTTGTAGTTTGTCAAACACATTCAATTCAAGGTCTTCATTTCGAGAATCGTTGAACTCACTACGCCATTAAGAAACCTGAGATGCTTCAAATGGCCAATTGAGTCTGATAACTCAGTTATGGAATAATCAGTCAAAGATAGCACCCTTACGCATTGCAAATTTGGCAACAAATCAAACAAAACCCTGTTTGCCAAGTAACATCTCTCCAAGGCAAATGCCTGAACTGGTAATGCTAATAGAGTCCGCAAATGCTGAACTTTGGAAATATGCCTAAACTTTTGAAGGACTTCAAATTTTTGACGAACAAATGGCAAGTGTCAAGCTCGTTTAGGAATTTCAAATTGCTCATTACCCTCTAACTTATCCAACCGAAAGGATATTTTTCCAGCAACCTGTATAGCTAGATCATGTAGAAGGTCATGCATCACAAACGATGATTTACTATCACCTGATTGTTGGAAAAATGACCTTAATAATAAATTATTAAAACATTCATTGCCAAAATCTTCTATCTGCTTCTCTTCAGGCTGCAAAAGACCTACCCCTATCCACAATAGAACTAGCTCAACTTTGTCAAATTCATAGTCTTTTGGAAATGTTGCACAGTAGGCAAAGCAATGCTTCAAATGAGATGGGAGATGATAATAGCTCAATTGAAAGGCTGGAAGAATACCAAGTTGTTGGGGTAAATTCCATATCTTGCTATTTAATATATCTACCCACTCACTTTGGGGTTTAGTGCGCAAGAGGCCTGCAATTCGTTTTTACAGCCAAAGGCAAGCCATTACATTTATTCACTATTTCCTCACCAATTCCTTTTAAACCTGGGTCTGCATTAAAGTTTTCTTTCTCGAGTGCATGACGAGCAAGTAAAGATAGGCATTCATGATTTGACAGCCCTTGTAGAAGGTGAGCCGGCTGAGACAGAGCCATGGTTTTTGCAACTGCTCCATTACGAGTTGTGACAATAATTTTGGTCCCAGGCGCCCCGACTTTAAAAGGACGTTTTAGGACCTCCCAATCTTCATACTTGTCGTTCCAAACATCATCCAAAACAAGAAGAAACTTCTTCCCTGACAAGCTCTCCTTTAAATTCTGTTGAAGCGTTTCCAAAGACATGGAGTCATGAGTTTTTAAAGCGACTCTCTCAAGAATTGCCTTGGTCACTCTATGAACATATGCATGAAAATCATCAGAAACACAAACCCATGCCTTGAGATCAAAACGACCCTCTACGCGTTCATGATTATATGCGAGCTGAGCTAGAGTTGTCTTACCAATGCCTCCCATGCCCACAATGGGAATGACACAGAAATTGTCAGCACTAACTTCATCCTTCAACAACTCCGCAACGATAGCCTCTTGATCTTGTACTCTGCCACAAACTTCAGAGCTGTAGACCAAAGAAGTCGTTTCCCGACCTTCTCTGATTGTCTTGAACCCAATCACTTCAGCATTCTCTTTCAAATTCAGGATACTCTTTTGTTTTTCAATATCTTCTAATCTTTTAGTGATGTCCTCTATCTTGGACCTCATATCATTTTTGGAAGTAGTTAACTTGGACCTCACATTACGATAAAGCTTAACAGCTGGGTTGAGTTTTGGTACCTTACTAGTACTGCTGCTGGCATGAGATTCTGGCTTGATCAAAGTTTGAGTAGCCAAGTCATCCAGCAAATCATCCAAATCGTACGCCAAGTCGGTGAGATCGTCCATCCACAATTTGACAGCAGCATCATTTTCCAATAGCTTGTCCTCTGCGTTAGCAAGAACAGCACGAATAGCTGGCAACATTTTCTCCAACTTCTTCAACTCACTATGGATTCCCTCCCGACGAGCATGAATTGACACCGCCGGAGAGACCAACTTTTCAAGCAGCACCTGAATGATCGGGCCCAGAAAGATCCCCGCAACCTCCATCGATCCTTTGTGAAAAGAGATGTATAAGTTTGTGGGTTTTGCTTGCACCTAATCAGATTCAAACCAAGCGCAAGAGCAAAGAGGAAGAGGAAGAGGGAGAGGAAGAGGGGGTTGACGACTTGACTGGGATCTTCAAAAGTCTTTGGAACTGTCGGCCATAATACCACTAAAGTTGGATAAAATAATTCAAAGCACATAGAAAAAGAAAAAAAAAAAAAGTAGTTGTGGAAAATTAGACAACCAGAGCACCAATCATTCACCCACAATCAATATGGAATCTTTTATCTCAATCATCCGCTCATTTTTTTAGGATGCCATTTGAGTTTTTTGTCTTGGATATTTGCCATGGCAACTTACCATATATGCCCTTCTATAACTATTTTTTTTTTTTAATACATCACAGCAATATCTTAGACATGTTTTTTACATCTTACACTATTTTAAACAATTTTTTTAAAAAACAAAAGCATGAAACCCCTCTTAACTTGTAAATTGGCCTTTGATGATTTTTTTTTTTTTTTGGCACAAGTCCTCTCCCAACTAATCCTTTTTTAATTTTTAATTTTTAATTTTTTGTGTTACTTTTAGCATATGAGACGCGCATATTGTTTGTGTGTTTGTGATCTTATTTGATATTAAAATTTGCATTTGTTGTTTTTGGAATGTAAATGATTAATACCTTTCAATGATATAAGGAAAACCTCATCTCATGCCAAAATACTCAATTCTAATTAAAAATGATCATTGCAAGCTTTTCAAGTATATGTCTATGGTGTTGTAACTCCTTCCAGATTGAAAGTTATAGTTGTTTAAAATACGAATTAATTTTTTGTATTGTTTATTTTAAAGGAGGGGAGGTAAGCGTAGTGTCACGGGCCTAAAGATTTGGCCCAGCGGCACGGCCCATGCGGCACCAAGGCGTTGCTTCAGCTCGCGCAAGCGCCCTGGTCAGCCACCACGACCTGCCCTCCCAAGGATACATGCTGACTGGTTTCGGCCTGCCATGGCCTCGTCAGGGGAACGGCTCCAGCTCCCGACCAGTTTGTGCAGGGATGGCCAACTCCCTTCTTCATAGTCAAGTCCACGACCAGCGACAAGTACCTCGAACTGAACCGAGTCGACCTGCCTGAACTCTGAAGAGGTACCATCCTGTGCTCCTGCACGCCCCTTCCCTGGAACCATTCCCAGTCAAACTCTGCTCTTTGCCAACCAGCATGCGTGTCTTCCATCCTCCAAGCGTCTTAGGAATCACTTCGTGACATTCTCCCCCACCCAAATCCTGCGACGTCCTCGTCGCAGTGCGGCGCTTCACTACTGCGTCCACTCCCTTCCAAAGTCTGCCTCCATGCGGTATGCTCGCCTTCCCACCATCGCTTCCTTGTGCAGCTCCCTGCACTGCACTCGCCCAATGATAGGCCTCGGACCAAGGGGACGTCCACTCCTCAAGGACGTGACTCTTCTCCGTCATGCCGCCTCCGCGACATCCCGAGCAAGCAATGGCCTTCTGCCGACTTGATGTTCGCCCTTCACCATGGTTTGCATCGCCCAAGGACTAAGCACGAACTTTGGTGCGCGCGGCCCTCCGACCCTTCAATGCGCAACTTCAACGGACGCCTCTTCCTAGGGAGATGGAGGCTCTCCCCCCCAACTGCATTGATTCCTCCACATCGACGCAACTTCAATGCACCGTCTTCATTCTCTGACCCCTCCCGGACCGACAAGGGGGCACCCCACCGTGCTTTACCCCAAGTCCTGCTCTGATACCATTTGTCACGGGCCTAGAGATTTGGCGCAGCAGCACGGCCCGTGCGGCACCAAGGCGTTGCTTCAGCTCGCGCAAGCGCCCTAGTCAGCCACCACGACCTGCCCTCCCAAGGATACATGCTGACTGGTTTCGGCCTGCCATGGCCTCGTCAGGGGAACGGCTCCAGCTCCCGACCAGTTTGTGCAGGGATGGCCAACTCCCTTCTTCATAGTCAAGTCCACGACCAGCGACAAGCACCTCGAACTGAACCGAGTCGACCTGCCTGAACTCTGAAGAGGTACCATCCTGTGCTCCTGCACGCCCCTTCCCTGGAACCATTCCCAGTCAAACTCTGCTCTTTGCCAACCAGCATGCGTGTCTTCCATCCTTCAAGCGTCTTAGGAATCACTTCGTGACAGTAGGGTGAGGATGAGATGAGTAAAATTTAAAAAAAGGAAAATATTTTTAGACAGTTTAAGAAAGTAAAAACAAAAGTTTCCAATTTCAAATTCAGATTACTCAAATGAAATACTTGGTAAGCTTTTCATTATTATTGTCTTTGTTTTATCTTAATGGTGTCGTTGCGTGAATTGGTAATTAAAAATTAAGTTATGAGTGTGATGGAGAGTTAAACTGGTTTTTGGCCATGAATGGCGGATAGATGCATCTGTTGTTTTAATTATTAATTTGTTACCGTTGATAAATTGTGGGTGTCTGTTACTTCTCCAATATATATATATATATATATATATATATAAAGGTATTTTGTAACCTTTTGAAACCGGAGTTTAGTGCAACCCTAAAAATATTTATAAAAAGGTAATGATATTCTGTCCGATTAAATTGGCCTACTTCTAGTTCGGATCTTACGTGTAATTGTTACGTAATTACTTAAATTGTTAATATTTCTCTCTATCTCTCTGATTTCTCCGTTTCTTCTTGATTCACGGTTCTCTCTTTTCCACTTTGCAAAATTAAAGGGAAAATAAAGTATTGAGAAATTTCTATTAATTCATAAAATCAAAGGAAAAAATACATATAAACGTATATGTTTGCTTGAAGAGAAAAAAACAAACATGTATTCACGTTTTTTTTTTTTTTTTAATTAGATTTCATTTTTAAGTAAATTAGCGCAATGTTTGAGTTTAAAACTGTTAATTAAGATATATCATCTAACGAAGCTATTATATCTGTTAAAAACCATTAATTTTGGCTTTCAAAATTTTACTGTTTTCTCCTAACATTGAGACATGGTCAGATTCAGTCTAAATCATGGTGGTTTGATGAGAAACTAAGCTCAAGTTTCGTAAGGTCTATGGTTTTTGTTATTATTATTATTATTTTTCAGTCAAATAGAGATGCCTGAATCTCAAAAGTATGAATGCAAACTCATCCCAATATTATTTGTATCATTTAGGAATACTTTTTCAATTATCCAGTGATATAGATATGAAGAAAAATACGAAGCCAACACACATAACAATACAAAGTCTCGAGTATATATGACATTGGCAATTGAAAAAAAAAAAAAAAAAAAATGTTTTAAATTTGAAAGTCTATTATGAAGATCAACGAACCGCCTTTCATATCATCTAGTTGATATGGTCGTGAATTTTGAGCTAGTCAAAGATTTTCTGTTATGTGGTTGTGGTGCTCAGAAGTGGTGGTAGTGTGATGCCGTAAAAGGAAATAGGGTTAATTTCTCTAACACCTCCTCAAATTTTGTCAAATATTACTCTCAAATATTTTTTGAAGATAACTATCAGCTATGAAGCACGGACACGGGTACAATATGACACAGCAATACGACAAATTTCAAAAAAACAGATCACGAACACAATAAGGATACGGTAATAAAATAATAATATATATATATATATATTTTTTTTTTTTTTACTCAATTTCTAGTTTATATTTAATAAACACAACTTTTAAGCCCATTATTCTCTTGAAAAATATAAGCCCAAATACCTTGAAAAAAAGAAAAAAAAAAAAAAAAAATATATATATATATATATATATATATATATAAGGGTACATATTTGTATCTAAAAGTATAATTATTATTCTTATAACCGGTTCTAAAAGATAAGATTGCAATCTTATCATTTATCCCTTCCTAGTGTTTGTATTACCTTTTTTTTAAGTAGTTATCTCTAGGAAATGAGACGGCAGAGGGGAAGAATATGCTTCCAAATAAGAATTGATCGCAAACAAGCAACCTATTTTCGAAGCTTTTAATCGGCCAAAAGTCTGAAAAATGCAAGTTCTCTCTTCTCCTGGAACCGACTTTCTTATCTCGTCCATCTCTCTCCCTCAATCCGTCTTTCTATGAATACACACAACTGTATACATGTATATATCTCTTTATCTTTTTTTTTTTTTGGACTTAAAATCTAAACCCAGTGTCCTAGGCGTGTCGCCGGCGTGTCCTTCGCCATGTCCAGCATGAAAAAAATGATAAAAAAATAGGACACCTTTATTGAGGTGTCGGACATGTGTCGAAGCCTCGGACACGTGTCCGACACCGATAAGACAGCTCATTCCCATGTGTCGATGCGTCATAGACTATCAGTCAGGTCAATTTCTATTTTTTCGTTAAAATCTCCATTAAAAATATGGAAAAAGATAACTTTGCCCTTAATTTTTTAATCCTATTTATTTCAAAATATCATGTTACTTAAATGACCATTATACCCTTCATATATATATATATATATATATATATATATATATATATATATATATGTAACAATAACAACCCGCGTACAAAGGCGATGATGGTGAATTGCCGAACTAATAAATTTGCAATGGTCAGAGGCGATGGCGGTAATGCGGTGGTGGTGGATATTCACGATCCCATGGAAGAAGACAGAGACGACAAACTAGGTGAATCCACCATCATGGAAGAAGACAATCATGGACAGCAGGTCGCCAGACGGTGGTGGTTTGGTGGGAAGGAAAACGTGAACCAGAGATTGCGGGTGGAGTCAACGGTGACGTCCGAGGTCTTAACACCTTTGATGGGCTTGGAATTGGGTAAAGCTCTGACGTGGAGGAAGCGGACCACCAACCATCACTGTCCATGGCATTGGGTGGAATTCTGACGTTGTAAGCGGCGCATTTCAGCCCTTCGAGTGTGCCTTTCAGGCCGGCTGGCATGAACTCTCTGCAGCTGTACATGGTATGGCCGCTAAGTCCGACGACGTAGTTCTTCAGTCACCCCCTGCACCTGGGTTTCCTCGGCGCTGTGATCTTCATTTCAAAATCTATGTAAATATGGGAAATTATAAAAGATAGAAAAGAGGATAGAGATAAAGAATTAGGAATCCTTGAATCAAGATTCGATTTCGTAAATGGGAGTTAGGATTTGTGGGGCACATCAATTTCTTGGACTTTTGCGGCAACTAGAGTTTGAGTAAGGAATGAGGCTCTCTTGCGGCTAGGGTATGTTTGGTTTAGACAAAGAGTGAATGAGGAAAACTAGACAAGAGCTTATAAATGATAATATGGGATTGGGGTCTACAGTAGT